CTCCCATTCTCTCTCTAGCTTTCTTGTATTTTCAGGTTTCACTTCTTGGTAAATGCATGCTTTGTGGCATTTATATGTTTTCAATTATTCCAATAATTTTATTATATTTCTTCAATGTGTCTGTTAACATAATGATTATTAGCTTTATAGAAATTTATTTTTACTATTTAATCCAGGTTACGATTTACATTTTCAATGGCTACTGACATTTCATAAGTTATTCTAAGGAAACTCCACAAAAAGTAGTCCTTGCATAAACTGAAGTTGTTGCCCTTGGATTTCTAAATTGAATAGTCTGCTGAGAAAGATTAAAACATCAGGACTTGAATAAATATTAAATGGCAGGGATTCACATTAATCTACCAGGATTTAGAGTCCTTCCAAGAAGCATCTATAATTTGGACGTATTAGAGGACCCGTGGGGGCATCATTTCTTACTCAGAGAGACTGACTGGGTCCAACAGGCTTAATGTCTTCTCGCATTAAGAATCTCTGTCTTGAAACCAGTAAAGCAGAAGAATGTGTGGAAGCCAAGCCTTCTTGGCCATGTGTTAACACTCTGTTAAATGATGTTGTGGGTCCTCCTTCAGTTACTCAATGTTAACTAACTCCAGTGGAAGGAAAATGGAAGTTTCTCCATATACTTGGAGAAAAATAGCTGAAATTTTGTTATCACTTTACAAATCAGTAAGGATGAACAGTCCCTAGTTTTCCTAAGCAAATTTCTGACCTAACTTCTACAAGATTAGGTTGTTGGCATGATCCATTTTGATGCACTGCACATTGGCGACACCTCTCTTAGGGCTTGTTTTTGGTGTGAGACAACTGGAGTTGTTTTTAAAATATTGTTATATTTGTTCACTGACTGGACTTTTTATGGCTTGAGATGGTATTGCTGGCTTTTCACTGATTCTCTAGTGGTGACTATGATTTTGCATGTTAATTGACTTTCTCATTCCACACCATCGAAACTTTTCTGTGTTCATTATCATTGCTCTGCCTAATGGAACTTAGGGTAGTGAAGAGCAAGACGTTATCAGGTGATGATGGCGGTGATGCCAGATTAGCAGGTTGAAGGGCAGTGCCTTAAGA